AGACAACGTTGAACTTTTCTCAAACATTCCACCGTCGTCTTTCCGACTGTCTCCACAGAGATCTTCAAAAGAAACCTCATTTCCAGCGATATAAAAAAATTAACAATTTATCAATTTGAGAGATTTTCGCCTCTTTTAATTTTTTCTCTCCTTATTTTGGGCATAAAAAAAGGTTTAATCACAATTAAATGGGAACGCCGGTATTCCCAAATCTGGGAAAACATTGCTCTGTTGAGGATTGCCGGCTCATCGATTTCTTGCCTTTCACCTGCGATTGCTGTCACAAGGTAACCACCCTCTCCTTTCTTCTCTTTATAAAAATTTGTGCCATTTTTTAAAGGATCCTTACACAAATAGCCAGTCGGTATACATAGTTTATACTTTAATTACATATGATTATATACATATTATACATCTGTCAGCTATTTTTAGTTTGAGCTGTTAGGTGTGGTCATTTGAGTTACTTTTTTTTTTTTGGTACAGTTGTGCCATTTGTTCCATTTTTCTTTTGTAGTATATGATCTGACTGTCTTTTTGTCAATTTTGAGCTGAAATACATTTACTTTTTATGTTTTTCGATCTGGGTTTTATTAAAGTTTCAATCTTTTCTCTCTGTACCATTTGTGACATTTTCGTTTTATACATGATTTACTGCCTTTTGTCAATTTTGTGTTGAAATCTTTGTCTTTTTGAGTTTTTTTATTTGGGTTTTAATCAAAGTTACAATCTTTTTGTAGGCGTAGTTGTTGTATAGTTGCTTGGTTGTGGTGGGGGTGGGAGGAGGACAAAAAATTGCTGAAGATTTGTATTGTGGGAGAAATTGGGTTGAAGGAAATGTGAAGGAATTTCTGTTCAATGTTGAGCATTTTGTGCTTTTCCTCCTCAGTGTTGTCAAAGGCGCGCTTAAGCGCTAAAGCGAGGCTCAAAACATGTTGAGCGCTTTGCCTCGCTTAGCGGACGCTTTAGTGTTGTCATCAACGCTCTAAGACATACTTTTCCTCGCCAATGAGCGTAATCATGAAGAGGCAGACCTAAACAATTAATTTTTTTTGATGAAGTAAGAGATATTATAAAAAGCATCAAGAAGATGCAAAAGAGCACTGTCCAGGTGCTAATACAAAAGATGATATGTTAGCTCTGTACAGATGGTCCTATGCTAGTGTTAGGGAGCTAACAAAATCCAAAAATAATTCGGGGGAGCTAATAGGGGAGAGGTTACTCCAGCTATATAACAAAACTATACAATTAGTTTTCAAGGAGTAATTAGGAGTTGCTAAACCCTCTAAACATTTTCTATTCCTTTCTGTCCAAATAGCCCAAAAAATACATCCAGGAATCATTTTCCAGATCTTGCTGATGGATTTACCAACTTTCCATCGACTCCAGCTACTATAAGCATCTTTAGTACTCTCTGGCATCACCCAGTTGAGTCCTAAAACTGAAAGGAACATATTCCAAATATCCGTAAGCAACTGGACAATGCAAAAATAGATGTCTGTTTGTTTCAAAATCCTGCTGGCACATGTAGCATCTATTAACTATGGGAATACTCCTTTCGCAAAGATTATCTTGAGTGAGGCACGCTTCCTTCAATGCAGTCCAGCTATGACATATAACTTTGGGGGTAATTTTGTTTTCCAGATGAGCTTCCAAGGCCAATTGTCCACCATTTCATTTTGGCTAATATTATGTAGGTATCCTGCTTTCACTGTGTATATTCCTTTAGTACTTGCTCCCCATATGAGTTTATCTGGAAGCTGCTCATTGACCATGCATTTCTCCAATTGGTCCAGAAGGCTAAGTAATTCATCCAGTTCCCAGTCTTGCACATTTCTTCTGAGGATTGGAAACCAAGAATTGTCTGCTCTATTCTGATAGACAGTTGAATCAGGTCTGCTTGCTATTTGATAAATGTTTGGAAAGTCATTTTTAGAGTTGAATCCCCTAACATTTTGCAGACCTAAACAATTAATATTTTACTTTATTGTAAAAAAATCAATTATTCATGCTTATAATTATTAATCATTATACATGAATATTTATATTTTTTTCCATTTGCGCCTTTCTTCATTAAAACTCACGCTTTCTTTGCGATTTGCACTTAAAGCCCTGATGGACCTTAGAGCTTTTTTGCGCTTTTCGCCTTTGATAACACCGTTCCTCCTTCCATTGAAAGCCTAGGAGTCAACTTATGGCACAATCTGCTATATTGATGAGGATTTTTGTAGCAATTAATTAGGCAGCTATTGAAACAGTTAAAGATAAAACATGAGGTAATCAGATATTGAAATTTTAACAGCAGTTAGCACCCTCCACCTCCAACTATAAGGTTGAGAATCGAGTAGCGAAGTGGAAAATGACCATATTTGAGACTCCTGAATAGGAGAGTTTGCGGGTTGGGCTTTACCATATCAAAATATAAGAAGGAAAGAAAAAAATTAAATCAGTTATTCTATATAAGCTTATGCTCAATTGTTAGTATGATACAACAATAGAGGACGAGGTTTAGAATATCAGACAGTTGATCTTAGTATTTCCACGATTACTCTCGTGTAATGTGCATCTTGGAGTACCAGTAGTTGACGTGCTTCAATGGTTGATTAAACTTTTACCTCTGTGTCTGTATTTATTCTGAATTTTAAAGTGAAGTGTTCCCAAACTTCTAATGTGGCTTTTGCAATGGAGATTTCAGGAGTTATTCTCTCTACTTTTAGGTGAAAATTATTTCAGTTGAGTAATAACTTCTTTTTAGGTGAAAATTGGTTCAGTTGCTTTATGATCATGAAGAGAAAGCATTTCTTTGATTTCTTCTGTAAAGACTATCTTTATTCTCTTGCCTGATCTGGTTTGATTTCAAGTCTGTATTTAAAAATCTAAACTTGAGTAGCCCGTAGTGGCTGTAGATAGGCTAGACAGATGAAGCATAGAACGGAATCTACATTTTCTTTCATTTTAAAGTTCCCACTTGTATGTACTGGTTTTAAGCTCTATATACTGCTTCTGTTATAGCAACTCTCTCTTTGGAAGTTATTGCTTTAAATGGCAAATTATGATTCAATTATACATGTGCATATGTCTTAAAATTTAGTCAACCTTTATCTTCGTTTTCTCATTCAAGCCTCCAATTCCTCTATCCGTATTGGAAGATACTGCTTTGTATACTTGAATTTAGTGGCGGGATAGATTTAGCAATATAGTATGTAACAGTAAATGAAAACATGAAGTTTACAATTTTTTTAATTTTACGGTGGATATATCTTGTATCGATGTATGTGGTTGTGTTCATGTCAATGCAATTGATGTTTCATTCACTTTTAGCTTTCCAAAAGTGAGAAAATAAGTCCTCACTTCTTCCTGATGTGTAAATATTCTGAAGCCCACTAGTATCATTTAAGAGTTAGTGTTTTTCCCTCTCTGACACCCTATGTTGTACTGGCTTTGAATAAAATTTGTCTATAGAGTTTGTTTTGGTGGATTTTGGGTGAGTAATTTTGGGTGAGTATCATAAGTTTTGAATCTTTTAGGGGCAAAATGCAAGTAGATGATATTCAGTATGATGGACTCAGCTTTGTCTATATGAGGGCCATTTCCGCATCGCAAAAGTATGTGTTGTCCTGCTTCCTCGTCCTATTTTTCCATTTATATCTTTCTTTGTTTTTTATTTATAATCTTTTATGTTTCGGAACAAAAATATGGATACCATATTGAGTACAAGTTTGGAAAGAGAACCAGCACTGAAGGGATCAAAAAGACTTTCTCCTGTCTTGCCTTGCATAGTTTTCTTCAGGGGCTCAGTTGCTGTTGTATTTTTCTCTTCTTTGTTTTGTTGGTTCATTTGGAAATCTATGACTTTAATATTACCATAACTTGATCATTGATTGTAAACTCCGATCTCGGATGCTGAAGATGTGTTAACATACAAATAACTCCTTGCAGGTGTTTTGTCTAGAACATCGGAGCTATAATAGACACGAATGTCCAACAGCTAATAAGAATAATGTCACAGTGGTCATTTGCCCGCTCTGTGCCAAAGGCGTACGCCTTATTCCTGATGAAGACCCCAACATAACTTGGGGATCACATGTGAACACCGAGTGTGATCCCTCAAACTACGAAAAAGCCACAAAGAAAAAGAAGTGTCCTGTACCACGCTGCAGAGAGCTCTTGACTTTCTCCAACACAATCAAATGTCGGGATTGTACTGTCGATCATTGTTTGAAGCACCGGTTTGGACCTGATCACAACTGCCCCGGACCTAAGAAACCAGAACCTGCTTTCCCGTTCATGAACTTTCTGAATGGAAGTAAAGAAGAGCCCAAGAAACCTCAGTCCACGTCGTCCTCAAGATGGACCACGAGCCTATTCAAGGTAGTGTCATCTGTAAAGGAAAAGTTGAGCAGCGAATTTAGTACAACACAACAGACGGGCCAAAGCAGCCGTTTCACCAGCCACAGTGGTGCGAACACCAGCAGTCAAGTAGAGCAATGCCCACAATGTCATCTAAGATTTTCTACCATCAAAGCTCTCATCGATCACGTGCAAAAAATCCACGAAAAGAACGGTGTCATGAACTTGACAGTCGATGTCTGCCCGAGGTGTAGTAAAGGTTTTCGAGATCCTGTGGCCCTTGTGGAACATGTTGAAAGGGAACATAAAGGAACTTCTAAGGCTTAGAGATGGAGGTACATGTAAAGAAGCAAAAGTACATAATACCTTTTTCTTGTTAATTCTTTTTCATAAACAACAAGTCTATTTATTCTTACACTAAATTTTCTCGTGAAGAGGGGATGTTCTGATGGTAAGCAACCTCCACTTCCAACCAAGAGGTTGTGAGTTCGAGTCTACCCAAGAGCAAGGTGGGAAGTTCTTGGAGGGAAGGATGCCGAGGGTCTATTTGGAAACAGCCTCTCTACCCAGGGTAGGGGTAAAACACTACCCTCTCCAGACCCCACTAAGTGGGTTTATACTGGGTTGTTGTTGTTGTTACACTAAATTTTCTTGTGAACATGATACTGATTCTTTTACAAAGTGGATTTTCCTATTGTATTTCACTATCTTGTGTTTCATTACACATATCCAATTGGTATATAAAGGAAGCAATTTTTTTGATTTTTATTTTTATTTTTAAAACATGGAATGCAAATGGAATCCATTCAAAATCTATTGGAGTTCACAGATAAAGTACTCCCTAAGTTAATATATGCTTAACAAGGATTAAAGTATTAAACAAATGGGCGAACTTATAATCTATTGAAATACTCATTTGACAAATTGTCTTCATGATAATTATTCCTTTTTATTAATCTAGTAACAATTTCACACTCATATAAGCTTTCAAGTCTAACCAAACTAAGAGCCCGTTTGGACATTTAAAAAAATCTCTTTTTTTTTTCGAAAAATCTTCACTGTTTTTCGAAATCAATATTTGGCCATAAAAATTTCCAATATTCACTTGAAGATGATTGAAATTTTTCGAAAATTTGAAAACCTCCAAAAAGACTGTATTTCAAAATTTTCACTCAGATCACTTACAAAACTTCAAAAACAACCCAAAATTATATTCATGTCCAAACACAACTCTAATTTTCAAATACCATTTTTACTTGAAATTTTTTTTCACTTTTTTTTTTGGAATTTTACAATTCTTATATCCAAATGCCCATTAAATACATGTAGAATTTTTAGTCGATTTAATTTAATTTTTCTTTTTTTTTTAGCTGAGGGTTTATCGGAAACAACCTCTCTACTTTCTCAAGATAGATGTAAGGTCTGTGTACATACTACCTTCCCCATACCCTACTCGTAATATTACATTGAGTTTATTATTGTTGTTATTATTACTTTGTATTTTCTTGAAAACCCTAAGCAAAACTATTTGATCTCTCAAAACCTTAACGCTTTTGCATGTGTCAATAATCTTTTTTTTCACGTTGTGTCCGCTCTCGCATTAAAGCCACGATTAATTTGAATTTGCGCTGCGTAAGATTTTAAAAAAAACTACAAAAGTTCTTATTTATTTATGTTACAAAAATCAAAAGTGATTTACCTTTTATAGACAACATAATAATGTTTTTGCTAGTCCAACTCCTTCTTACAAGGCAAGTTATCCATTTAGATTCATGATTAGCAATTATCATTCATGTGTCATTCTTACTACTACTATCATTACATTATAGCTAGTACTTATACTTAGGCCCCCTTTTTCTTTTCCTTTCTCCTTACAAATAATAGCTAATGACAGATTCATTATTTAAACACTAATTATACTTATTTTTTACGTATATATAAGATTTTTCTAAACTTATATTCTCAAGTTAAAAGAATAAATAAAATAACATACTTATGGGTGTCATTCTATCATATGTTTGCCAACTAGTTAATACTACCGATTATGATTAAGTTCCCGTTTGGCCATAAAATTTCGGAGTTTTTTTCAAATTTTATTTTCAAATATCTGTTTGTTTATAAATTTTAACCATTTTTTAGCAGATTTTGAATGAAAAAAAAAACTTCAAATCCCAAAAAACAGCTCGAGTAGTTTTTGAAGTTATCTACTCACAAAACTTCAAATTCTTTTCAAGTAAAATGCATGTCCAAACACAATTTCAACTTTCAAAAATCATTTTTCATCTTATATTCAAAAACTCATTTTTTTCAAGTTTCAGTTAAATTTATGTCCAAACGCTAGCTAAAATTATATGCACGTAGATGAAGGGTAGAATATTTCAAGATTTCTATGAAATTTGGCCAGAAAAGAACGTTAAGAAGACAAAACTAAAAATTAAAAACAAAAACACAATCAATAATATAAGGCACGGGCCAATAATATGTTTCAAATGGAAGAGGACAATATTTTCTTGAAATTTCATTTAAAAAAACCATTCACTATTTCACTTGATATTTTTTATAACCATGACACCTGCTTAAGTTATAGAAGAGTGAAAGAGCCAATAAACTAACAATGAGCATAAATAAGTACGATTTTTTTTTTAATAATTTCATTTTTAAAGCTTAAACAGATTTAGTAATTAGACCAGAGAAAGAAATGAATGGCTGTAAATACAATTTTTTTTCCTTTTTTGAAAATATAAGATAATTTAAATATTGATCTCTTACTGACCAATGTTGAGACACATATCATGACTTGGTTAGGAGGAGGAAGCCAACAAAATAAGAAAAAACATGTCAAGATTAGAACATTTATTGTGATAGTTAATGGTCACATTTGGTGGCTCAATTTGTAATAAACACCAATATTGTAGTTCAAATGTAATAGAAACCCCACATAATTTAAGTCTGCAAGTTGCAAATTTAACCAAAATTTAAAGAGTTTTTAGTATTAAGCCTTTCAAAGATATATATATATATATATATATATATATATATATATATATATATATATTAAATAGATAAATATTATAATAATGCTTTACCAAAAAAGTCTAAAGGTAACTCCATAAAAAGTGAAATTAGATAAATACCTTTATAGTAGTCGAAGGGGAGCTTTGGAGCAACGGTAAAGTTGTCTTTGTGTGACTTATAGGTCACGGGTTCAAGCTATGTAATCAGCCATTTATGCTTGCATCAGGGTAGACTGCCTACATTATACCCCCATAGGATGCGGTCCTTCCTCGAATCCTGTATAAATGCGGGATATTTTGTGCACTAGGCTATTCTTTTTCCTTTACAATAGTCCGTAGGTAAAAATTGACCTAACGGTGCAAAATTTTTCAACAACTAAAATTGACCTAATAATTTAAATATAATCTACAATAGATAGAAGTGACCTAAATTTTTTTATATTATCATTGTATATAAGTTAAATTCTAATACACACGATATATTAAGGGGTCGCTTGGTGCACAGACTAAATTATACCAGGATTACTAATTTATACCATACGAGAGATGGGATAGAATAATAACAAGTTTAATGAAATAACATAGGATACCATGGGATATCCCGAATTAAGTCTCAGTTTATACCGCCAACCAAATACGATATAAATTTAATCTCACATCTTATACCACCTTATTCCGCGTACCAAACGATCCTTTAGTAGTATATAAAAAAGATCTAGGGACTCAAAAGACAATACGTCCATTTACAAAAAAAAAAGCCGTTTAACGGTCAACTGTCTTTTCTGAATTCTTCTGCAAATAATCATAAATAAATAAATAAATAAATAAATAAATAAATAAACTATTCATCCTTAACTTTCTCAAAAATTGCAAATGGTGAAGCTGTAAAAAATTGCCAAATTGGAAGCATAAGAAAATCCCCATGTCAGTAAGTCAAATATTCCATCATTTCGCGTTTCCATTTCTATAAATATATTTATACATTTACTGCGTGTGTGTATTAATATTTCCAATTATTAATTAGTGTCCGGCCAGCCCCATTCAAATTTAGAATCATTTTTTTTCTAAATTATTTTCAAGAAATTTTTGTAAATTGTGTGTATAGAGGAGAGAGAAGAGAGGAGAGAGAGAGTCAAATTATTTGGAGAAAGGGTTGTCGAAGAAAGGGAAGAAATGCAGGAGATCCACTGCATTGTTGTAAAGCTTTAATTTTTTCATCAGAATTGTACTTTACAGGCATTCATTTGAAGGTATATATATATAAATGTACATACATATATATATGACTCCACCTGTATAATTCATATAAATGTCTTGTGCATGTATTAGGGTAATTGGTGTTGTACAAATCTTTGATAAGCAGATCATCAAATTCATCTGGAAAAATTTGATCTTTTTTGAATTTTTATATGCCCTTTTGCTTAATTTATCTAGTTTTTTAGTTTTCTTGAACCCCATTTTGGTTTAAAATTTTTTGATCTTTTTAAAATTTTCATGTACCATTTTGCTTAATTTGTCTAGTTTTCTAGTTTTCTTGAACCCCGTTTTGGTTTTTAAAAAAAAATTTGATCTTTTAAAAATTTACATATACTCTTTTACTTAATTTGTCTAGTTTTCTTGAACCTCAATTTGGTCTAAAAAGTTGATCTTTTTCAAATTGCCAGACACCCTTTTGCTTAATTTATCTAGTTT